AGATTAAGAGACAAATGTTCTCATCTGCTGTCTCAAACGTAAGTGTAATTTATCGTTGTATACATTTTAGAAATAAACATGTTATTTAAAAGTGCTTAATTAATTATTATTAATTATTAACGATAAGTGGTAGTGTAAGAATATCTACCCTCTATCATCCCGTGGGTGTCGTAAGAGTACCAGTGTAATAAAAATAAACTGCGGTTGCCAATCCACTTTTCAAGCGTAAATATGGCAAAAATATCTCCCCTATAAGGCAATCTTTGGGCGAGGCCTATGTTCAGCAGTGGACTTTAATAGGCTGTAACGGTAATTAATTAACCTACTAATACTAAGTACACTACTTACGAGGGCGGCACTGAAAATTTCGGGAATCAAGAAAGTGACACAACATTACTATTTAAAAATGTGTTTATTGCTTTTCGAAATATTCTCCGCGGAATTTAACACATTTTTCTTTTTATGCGATGGAACCAATCATTGAAGCAACCATTCCATTCGGAAGTTGGGGTCTCCAAAATGGCCGTTTTGTAAGCGTCCACAGCTTCTTCAGGTGATGAAAATCTCTGTCCACGCAATTTATTCTTTATTTTAGGGAAAGTATAGAAATCATTAGGGCTTAGGTCGGGACTGTACGGCGGATGGTCTAATAATTCTATGTTTTCTTGCTCTAAAAACTCTTTTGTTCGGTGTGCGGTGTGAGAACTCGCACTGTCGTGATGGAGTGATGTTCAGAAACGACCTGTGGCAAACAAATGCTAGCATACCATTCTGCATTAACCTTTCTTTGTCCCTCAAGAGGAATAGTCGTAGCATGGCCGGTTTTGGAGACAAACGTGGCCACCATTTTTTTTGCAACACTCCGTGAACGAACAATTTTTATTGGCTTTAACTAATTTTCGAACACCCAAACTGACTGGCTTTTTGTTTCGGGTTCATACGCATATATCCAGGATTCGTCACCTGATACGATGTTGTATACAGCATTTGAGGATCCTGCGTGGAATTTTTCGAGAGATCTGACGTACCAAGTAACGCGAGCCGCTTTTTGCTCTTCACAGAGCGAATGCGGTATCCATCGGGAAAACAACTTTTTTACACCTAATTGTTCATGCAAGATTATTTGTATTTGACTCATGCCAATGTCTAAAGTTGCCTGAATTTCGCGGTATGTCACATGTCGATCTTCCTCAATTAGCTTACGCACAGCATCAAGGTTTTCTTGGGTGACTGCAGTTTTTGGACGACCTTGACGGAGATCATCACTGTGCTTGACACGTCCACGTTGAAATTCAGAAAACCAGCGATAAATTGTGGTTTTGAATGGGGCTTCATCACCAAATGCAGAAATCATCCGGTCAACACACTGTTTTTGTGTTAAACCACTTCGAAAGTCATAATAAATCATCGCTCTTCAATTTTCTCGAGTCAATTCCATTTTCTCAACGATTAAACAAGTTTGACAAAACCTTGTGACAAGACCGAGAATCTTTTTTAAAATAAATAAATGGTATTCGATTTTTTAAAACCAAGGAGTTTTCAATTAAAAAAGATTTTAGTATGACAGGAACAGTGGAAATATTCCATTCCCGATATTTTTAGCGCAGCCTGGGTACTAATTAGTTTTTGAACATATTTTTGTGAAAATGTAATTTATTTATTTATTTTTATTTTATTTAGTTAATTTACACATAACTTAAACTAAATACATTAAGTGACAGTGTGACATAAACCAGCATTGGTTTTACCGCACACTGCGATTCGACATCTGTCGCTCGAACAGAACTAAGTAATAGGTATTCATTCTTAACTACCTACTTACACATCAATTGCGCGATGTGATTACTGCGCACGCTATTTGACCAATCAACACGCATAACATATATTATGCACCTCTAACTCCAAAAGCCAGAGTAACTCGTTTGGGTTTGTAGATTCACACGGGTGACATTTTTTGTACAATTTTTTTTTTTTTTTTATATTTTACGCTAGTAATGCTAAAGATAAGTAGTGCTGTTTAAGTTTATTTTTGATGTTTACTTTAGTAATTTGGCCTTTAACTGTTGTAGGTAACTCGTTTATCAGTTTTGGTATTAGGTATTGTAACATTGCTTTTCCGTATAAATTTTTATAGCTCGGTAAATTAAGAATTGCATTAGAGGCACTTCTTGTTTTACTGCTGCGGTAGGTAAATGTTTTAAAACTGTCAGTAAAGAAATGATCGCAGAGCAGTATATATTTCACTTTGTCGTATATAGGTATGGTGTTGCAGTGATAAAAAAGTTGGTGGTAATTATTTTTGTATTTTTTTTTATATTCGTAGGTACGATGGTTTTTAAAAGTCTGACTTGGATGTTATATATTTGATCAAGATGTGATTTGCTAGTTCTGCCATAACTACTAAGACCATAATGTATAGTGGTCTCCACCAAGGCCTTGTATAAAAGTAAGAGCGTGGGAAAGGGAATTTTATTCTTAATAAGTCCGAATTTAGCCAGCATTGCACGTACTTTATCACAAACATGGTTTATATGTTCTGTCCATTTAAGACGATTATCGATTACTAACCCTAGGTACTTTTGTTTGTTGATAATCTCCACAGGAGCACAAGAACAGTTAGCCAAATCGCTATGAAGACAGTTATGGTTATGCGCGATTAGTTTGAGGCTATAGGGTTTTCTATTTTGACTTGAGCTTACGTACATGAGTTTCGTTTTGTCCGCATTAAGAACAAGGCCTGCATCGTGCGACCATTTTGTCAATTGCGTAAAGTCACTTTGTAGTTTTTTAAGAGCAAGATTAATATCCCTGTCTGCGGCTACAAGACACGTGTCATCAGCGAATTGGTATATTTCACAGTTTTTGACAATATTAACTACATCGTTGACGTAGGTGATATAGTGGAGTGGTCCAAGTACCGAGCCTTGTGCCGTTCCTTCAGAAGTTTTAATTTTCATACTGAGAGTGTTCCTGATCTTTACTACAAATGACCTATCCTCAAGATAGTTCTTACACCATGTGTTCAGAGGGCCTTGTATCCCACAGTCGTTTAACTTCGCAAGTAGGGTATCATGATTTAATGTATCAAAGGCCTTACTGTAATCTATGAATACTATAAGAATATGTTTTTTGTCATTAAGGTGCTTGTATATTCTGTCAGTGAATTGGGATAGAAGCTGTGTTGTACTCTTTTTTGGTTGAAATCCGTATTGTTTGTTAGTGATAATGTTATTATTTGTATAAAACGTCTGAATTTGTTTCGCAATGGCTTTTTCAACTATTTTGTCAATAGCGGAGAGAATAGTTATTGGGCGATAGTTTTCATAGATGTTATGGCTTCCTTTCTTGTGTATTGGCCTAACTATTCCCGTTTTCAACTCATTAGGATACTTACCTTGTCTAACGGTTTCGTTTATAAAATGAGCAATGACGTCAGCTATTTTAATCCCAATGGTCTTTAGGTCCTGAGCTCTAATCTTATCAATTCCCGGTGCCTTAGTGCTATTTATGGATTTTATTTCTTTGAGAGTTGATTTTGCTGTCAATTTTTGAAAGCGACAAGATACTTTAGGAACATCTGCATAAGTTTCCCTATCTAAAAGCTTTATATTACATTTTGGCATATTTTTAACACTATTTTTAAAACATAAAGCAAAGTTGTTGGTCAAATCATAAATCGAGGTATTATTTTTTTCGAGTGCATTGGTAATAATCGTATCAGCCAATATTTTTGTCCTTCCAGTGAGTTCATTTAATATTTGCCACAGTACTCTGGGGTTGTTTTTATAGTTTGTGATGTCTTGACGTAGTTTTTGATTTTTACACTTCCAGATTAATTTATTTGCAAAATTCCTTGATGTGTTATATTGCAGTTTTAAAATTTTATTGGATGGGTCGGCTATCCATTTTTTAAATAATTTATCCCGGTATTCACAAGCTTTTAAGATCTTATTATTTATCCATTTGTTATTATGACGATTTTTATTATTTGATGTTTTTATTTTAACAGTTGAGTTTTCGTAACATTTGTGTATGTTATTAATTATAAGTTCATATATTTTGTATGGACATATAGTTTGCTTGGCAGGCTTCCAATCTATTTCGTTTAGACTTTTTATTAGTTTTTTATTGTCGTAGCGTATGATATACTTAGAATCCTCCCGTGTGAATCGATTCATTATAGCGGTAACTGCAAGCGCAACAGCGCGGTGATCGGCCAGAGCAGTTCCCAGTGCCGCCGTGTACACGTCTAGTGAGCGGGATCGTGCGTATATGTGGTCTATGCAAGATTTACTAAGTCCATTTTTTGTTAACTCAATGCGTGTGTACTCGTTGATTCCGCACACTAGACCATGGGTGTACATAGTAGTGTTATAAATTTCTTTAATGGGCCTACTTGAGCGTAGATCTATGTTGATATCACCTAAGATATACAGGTCTTCTAGTCGTGGAACTTTACATAATAGTGTGTCAAGTTCCTTAACAAACAGGTGCTTACTGCTACTGGGTGGACGATAGATGCAACACAGGACAGCGGAATAGCGTGTAGGCGTGTATATTGTTCCTAATAAGCTTTCGCAGTGTTGTGTTTTGTAATGTTTAATTTTAAATTTGTGTTTATTATTTATGTAGATAATTACGCCACCGCCTTTTTTGGCCTTTTCGCAGTCCTGTGTGCATCACATAGCCTTTTATTTGGTATATGTTACTGAGTGAATCAGAAATATTAACTTCCGTTAACATAATTACATCAATAACCATAGATGAAGACATAATACATTGCTCAAGTGAATCAAAGTTTTTTATGACAGATCTTATATTCATATGTATGCAGAGGAGTTCTATGTTATAAGGGATTTTATCTAAAAATGTGTTTATGTCTACACAGTCTGTAAGTTGATATACATCTTCGGGTGTGGTATCCATAGTAGTGTTCGAAGAAACGATATTATATAGTAAACAGAGAAGCGAAAAAAAAAAAACAGGCTCAATACACAAATTTAGGAGGTACTTAGCTTAACTCTTTTGACATCATCCGCTGAACGTATTATAATTGGTTTCTGGCTTTCTCCTGCCCGGCGTACACGCAGAACACCTTTCTTAATCCATATGTACCGAAATGAGTTCTTGAGCTCCTGTTTGGCATAGTACAGTAGTTGCTTGTTGTATTGCGTTAGGGCTTCGCATATGAATATTGCTGTATTTACATTTAAAGAGTGGTGGTGTGAGCATATTTCTTGAGCTGTAATTCTGGGGCTTATCGATTTCGAAGCAGCTAGCCATTCTAATTGTGTTTGCTCACTATTCAGTTCAATCATGACCGGTCCTGGTCGATCATTTTTACTGGGCAGTCGTTTCATTTGCTTAACATTGCATGCATTTTGATTAAGCCTTATTGCCACTTTACCTACAATTTCTGGTAGGTTCTCGTTTTCAATGTACGGGATATTGTGGATTTCAATGTTTTTATGTAGCCTTTGTTGTTCTATTTCTTGAATGCGCTGTTCTAGCGCACCTACCCGCGTTTCTAGGTTATTATTTTTATTGGTAAGTTCTGTGTTTTTTCTTTTGTAGATTAGAAATATTGTCTTGCATAATTTCTATGTTTTTAAGCAGTTCGTCCATTTTATCTGATTGAAATTGGAGTGATTGAGTGAGGTCTTTCATTTCCTTTTTTATGGCTCTTTCTACCTCTTTAGATATATCACCCAGCAGTTTTTTAACGTCGATCTGTATAGTGGGAGACTCAGAGTAATGTTCGTCGTCTTCGTCATCATTAGGAATCACTATTGAGCTACGTCGGGGTGTCTTTTTCTTGGCAGTCTTGACAATTCCACTCTAGGTTTTCGGAAGCCTTCAGTGCAGCCAGTTGCTTATTGGTAAGTCCAGTGCATTGATTGTTAAGATGAACTAGTTTTTCGCAGCGATTGCATTCTAGGCCCGGTTTAGATTTCGTAATGTTTTTGCTGCAGTAATCACATTTGTTCAACATATTGGGTTTTAGAAGGTAGTTATCGCATACAAGATAAACTTCACAACACACGCGTGTTACGTAGGAGCGAGCGATGAGGAATGAGCGATGAGAAATGAAACGAAATGATCCACGGATATTCAGTAAAATGGCTCTTTAAAAATTTTTTTCACTCGTCACGGTTTATCAATATTGAGCTGTTAAACTTTGTTCCGATAATAGGAATGTGGGCGGTAGGTCGGTGTTGCTAACTTTGATTTTGTGGCCGTGGTAGGAAAAGGGGAGATCTCCCGCCGGGCAACGTGTTCCGCCCGGGGAGCGGCTTGAAGTTTCCGAAGGTTGTTGGTTGCGTATTCAAATCACGTCGGTTAGTCACCACTGTGGCCGTGGAAGGAAAAAAGGAGATCTCCCGGCTAACGCTCCGTGTGATTGTTCGGAGATGTTCTATATATACTGTTTATGATTCGGAATATTGATAGCGTGATTTAGGCTCCGGTGTTTCGCTTGTGGCGCGACGACAATGTCGCCACAATTTCATTTGATGAAAGTATGGAGTAGTATCATTCAATACAAAATGCGCAGAAGCAGGTGATCGATCGTACAGTGTTGAGCTATTAACTTCGGGCTCGGTGCTAGAAAAGTGGCGATGAGTATCGTTCACGTACGCGCGCGTTCAGGGACAGGTAAGTGGTAGTTGCTATACCGTCAACTTTGGTATCAGTACTGTAATATAAGCGGTAAGCTTCATCGGCTACAGCAGTGATATGCTGTTAACTTCGCGTCCAGTGCTGGAAAGATGGCGGTGAATATTGTCCACTGTTACAGCGTGTGCTCAGGCATGTAAGTGATCGGGCAGTATTATTTATCTGCCAACTTCTGGTCCACTGCTAGAAAAATGATAGTAAGTATAATACTTTACAGCATGTGCTAAGGCGTGCGCAAGTGCGTTGCTTGGGATGGCAGTTAATATAATTTGCCACAGTTGGTTTAGCAATGTAGGTAGTGTAATTCGTAATATTGTGGAAGTATGTATTAATTTTTTTATCTAGTGAGGCACGAGTATTTCGGCATCCATTATATTCAAGTGTTTCAACATCACTGTTTTGTAAATCATAAACACTGACTTTAGAATTTTTGACAGATGTTTTAGTAGGTAGGGATGTTTTCAATGTGATGTTTTCTTGAAACTTTAGAAGGTATTTTAACACTGTTCGTATCTGCTACACCAATGATGGTAATAAAAGATGACCTCTAAAGTTATACACAAAATTGTCGGATATTTCTGTTATGTACATAATGATTTGGAATAATTAATTTGAAAATTCAAATTAAAAGTTATATTTAGGATGGAGTTTGCGGTTAACATCAAACTATATCACATCTCTAAAATAAGATTTTAGAGTAAAACCCACAGCACGTCTTTGCAATTACAGTTTCTGTAGTAATAAATATTTATGCTGCATTTAAAGCAATCAGTTCAGCGTGCGTAGATATAAAAATAAAATATGTTTAACGCTTACTTTTTTGTAGTAAATGTGCCAAAGACCGTTAACTTACATTGTATTAAATAAAGAATATTTATAAATACTGTATTTCGTATTTTGCAACACTTAGTATAATTGTGATGTTCTGTTGTAAAACCAAAATGCTTACTCTTTTAAATGAATTCATTGAAGTGAAATCTAATTTATACTTAGCAGTAGATAACCATTTGTAGCAAAAGGCAGTTGGTAATTTAATCCTAATAGAAGGTTACATTAATCTTAACGTATTTATTTGTGGATGACAGAAATTTAGATAATATACTTAAAACATCTCGTAATTTAACTGAAAAATAATTGGTTTACATGGTTAATAATAATAATTTTACCTAGCATTTGCCAGCCTGATTAATTCAAACGCTTGTTTTGTTCGTAAAAGGAAATTCAAAGCACTGTTTATATCCTCCGTGTTTTTTACTTAGCTACTAGCTAAATTCACTGGGGCCGGGAAATACACACAGACAGGTAGTACACGCGCCCGTTTTGGTTTTAACTCCATCGCGCGCCGATGACATATGACGCGGCGGAGCGAATTATGGATAAATTTAATTCATGTAAATTTCAACATTTTAGATGATAATTAATGCAGTAAAAGCAATGATTTCAAAAGGAAGGATAGACTCATCTAAATATTTTACTCATAACTTTTTCATATAAGAAAAATTAGTGCATCTGTCATAATACAAACGTCATATCAAAACACGACGTAACCAGGGTCGGATTTCGTAGTATAATTATCCTAATTGTACATTATTTTTTCATTACATTATTTCATAGTTTCTTATTAATACTACAAATTTTACCTAAAGACTTAATTATTGGTCCTTTTACATTTTAACATTAACCCCACCATATAGAGAATTTCTGTATTGTACATGAGTACCGCTTTTTTAATAAAATTAGAATTAGCTCCCTGTCTGGTCAATTGATACTCGATCGATCCTTTTCTTTCGTACTCGTTTCGTTTACCATTATTGAATATAAAATATATTGGGTACCAATATTTAAAATTTAACTTACACTGAGTTCTTCAGACAAAAATTGAACAGAAATAAAAATAAAACCGTCAAAAACGAAACGTATAGATAAAATAGACGCGTGACGCCAAAATCCCGGCACATGGGAAAAAAGAAACATGAAACGTCAAACGTGATATATTTTTTTTAAAAATAGTATAATTTTATTTTCCGTGTACTATATATATTTGAGGGTCTGAATCCAACCCTGGCCTAATCTTGGTAACGTAACTAAACTAACTGTAAAATAAAACTTTAAAAATGAGTTTATATAACAATTTAATTGTAACAAAATATAAGGTTACTTACCGACGATACGATATACCATGTTTTTCTTTATCTTTGTTACGCAAATTTTGCATTATTTTACAACGCAAATAGACATATTTGTGACAGGCAAATCTGTCCTGCGCGCGCACTACTGTCGACCGATTCGCGTTGGCCCTAAACTTCAATTTTAGGGCCAACGCACTGGTCCGTTTTAGTTGTTCGGTCGGCCCCGTACTTACGCTAGTAATATATAAGTCAATGAGTAAAAGCTATATTTTAATGCATAGTTTTATAAACTGTAATGTAGTTTAGGTTTAGGGTGTCAATATCTTATTTTGAAAAGTAGTGGCTTTCACGACATAAATTTACATTAATTACAAATTGATTGGTTTTTTGAAATATTCAGTTTAAAAACTTGTCGTAATAACCATATTTTATAATATGTTTGATTTTACGACTAAAATCCTCAATGATAATCTTTTATGAATCCATCACATTTAGACAGGGAGCTAGTGACAGATGACATTCCACGATTTTGTCGTGCATGCCTTTTTAAGGCTTGACAACTAACCCTAAAATATCAAAGATTGTCGGGGCTTTAGCCCCCCCCGCACGTCCTCTTCATAAGGAAAAGCGCTTCTCTTTGTGTAGCGAATTTTCGTGTTTTTCCGTGATAGTATACTGCATGCCCTTGTAATATACGGAAGTTAAAGCAAATTGAAGCTCTAATAATTGATGGCATGCACCACGCAGCGGCCCAAGATGATCAAATGGTTCTGAAAACCTGAAAAAAATTAAAGGGCAATTCCGTGTTTTCAAATTGCATGCCGATGTAAAGAATGGAAGTTTTTGTAATAAAAACACTCTAGAAAAATTGGCATGTACCCCTCGTGTGACCATGGCATGCAGTTTGGAATCACGGAAAATCGGAGTTCAATTTTTACAGAGTTTTCCGGAAATTTCCACCGTTTCCACCAACGTTTTCCGTTAATTTTCAATAATAAAGAGTTCCACCGTTGGTGGAAAATGTCACCAGCTCCCGGTCTAATTATGTAGAAAAAGTCATGCATAGAATAAACGTGTCTTTTACAACTTTAATTATAAAAATATTCTTACTTATTACGACTTATTATAAGAACAAACTAGGTTTTTAACCTTAATGGGGCGTGTTGTAAAAGACACCTTTTTCTTTTTGTGAATATGAACTTTTCATTTATACAGGTCGATAGAGCGCGTGAAACTCATTATAAAGGTCTTAAAAACTAATTTTGGCCATTTTGGCTTTTGTTAAATTTTTGACTTCTTGCAGAAATTTTCTTGCAGGTGGAAATGCGTCCTTATATTCTTACAAACTGTCGGACAGCAAACTATAATATGTTGAATACATAGTAGAGACTTGTACGAATATTATACAAATTATATGTAAAATGTCGATACATATAATTAAAAATAAATTGTTATTGTAATAAAACATAGTTCGATCCCATTATTGATTGAGTTTACATACAATAAAGCCACAA